ACACATAAGGCCAGCAGCTGATTCTGCCACGAATCAGGGCAGAAGCTGGTGGGGGGAAAAGGAGGGGAGAGCACAGATCACGAGAAAAGTGCCCCCTCGGGGCAGACCAATTCATTTAACAACATATTTTTTGAGAACCTATAGCTCCCTGGAGCTTATATTTCAGCAGGGAGGAAGGACAAAGCAAAGACATATATTATAAAGCGGATTAAAAGGTGATCAGTGCTACAGAAAAAGAAATAGGGTGTGGGCTTCCCTGGTGGCGCAGTGGTTGAGAGTCCGCCTGCCGATGCAGGGGACGCGGGTTCGCGCCCCGGTCCGGGAGGATCCCACGTGCCGCGGAGCGGCTGGGCCCGTGAGCCGTGGCCGCTGAGCCTGCGCGTCCGGAGCCTGCGGGAGAGGCCGCAACAGTGAGAGGCCCGTGTAGCGCGAAAAAGAAAAGAAGAAATAGAGTAAAGAACACTGGGGCGGGGGTGAGCAGATTACAGTTTTAAATACGGTGGTCACAGGAGGCCTAATTGAAGGAGACACTGGACCAAGACCTGCAGGAGGTGAGGGAGCTGGGGCGTTCTTGACACGGGGCGACCAGAGTGGGACACAAAGCAGGCTCATATCCTACATCATAAAAACTACACTGTAGGATGCAGCTCTAGCTTGTAAGAATTAGAAATTAAACAGAATAAGGATTGTTGGCTATTTTGGCTAAAACTGTATATAGACACATATGTATAAATATGTATATATATACATCTATCTATATACATTTTGATCTCAGGGCAGTAGGATGAAAGGGCTGTTACTTAATAATGCTGGCTTCTGAAGATTTCACAACCACTGCTTACGGCAAAAGAGGGATGAGGCACTTCACCTGAAAGCTTCCATAACAGATGGCAGGAATCATAAATACCATGTCCTTTTGGCCTATTTTCTTATTTATGAGGAAAGGTTTTCAGGCAACATGTAACACTCTGGGCACAATCTTTGTAACTAGCTGTAGCACACGTGATACATACAGAAAGTCAGCACAAAGTAGACCAGTAATAATGAAATCTAATGAATAAACATAAGCTATACATTTAAATGATACATTGCTATACAGAGCGTTTATCAGTATATCAGTTAAAAAATGAGATCTAGTACTAAAGTCTACAGAGGGAGAAAACACTTACAAAATTCACAGATTGCACTTGTATTGAAATCTCTATTTCGAGAGTCAGTTGTTCAAGCGTCTACATATTCATATTAGTAACTGTGCCCTTTGAAATGCACCCACTGTGACTGGGATCTATTGGCCTGCTTCTCTTTTCTGGGATTAAATGGCTACCTTCATAAATAATATTTGCTAACAACAATGGCCATGGAAAAAAACTGTCAATAAACTGCTATCTTTTGGGGCAGATGGTGTATGGAGTGCTTAATCTCCCCTCCTCCTTTCCTTCCCTCCTTCCCTAAAGGATGTACATATAGACACATCTTTCCACTGTCCCTCAAAACTTTTCATTACCTTTTCTGATGTTCGAATGTGGGTCCGGTCTGGTCATCAAACAGAAAAAGAAAACTGCCGAGAGGATAAGTAATGAACCACTCACATAAGGTATGCACTAATAAAAATTTAATATCATAAAATAAACCAGAAAACAGCAAAAACATTTTTTTAAACCATTCACAATTAAAGTGGAAAGAGACAAAATTATAAGGCAGCCATCCATGGAATGATTTCATGTTTACAAAGGATCCAGAAAAGGGGACATTTAAAATCACTGTTCAGGCTACTGAACCAGGGGAACTGCAGTAGTGTTGTCCCACGAGACTTCCAACTTGGTAGGAGATGCTATGAGAAAACAGATCAAAGCCAACCTCCTTGTGTTAGGCTGGGCATATCTAGAAAATTCCTAATGGTTGTCTAGCCCTTTTATGCAAGTCATACATTTCCCTCAGGTCTCCTCAGGTGAATCTAGATGTCTCAGGTACAAAGGAGCTACATCACTGGTTTTAATTTCATAGCATCTCCAACAGTGCTCTTGGGGTTATGTGGACCATTGTGTATTGAGCAGAAGTTTTGTAATGTAAGGAAGGTACCCCGTGGAACGCCTATAGAGAGTTCTCGCCTTGCCCTACAGCAGTTTTGGATGAATCCAGTCATTATTCTCAGTCTCCCAAGGGGGCCCCATAGACAGGAACGTTCTTTGGGGGCTTGTGCTGTTGACATACATACAGTTCCCACGTTCAGTACCTAGCTACCATGTGTCTGAGAGGCTGGCATGTCCTCCGAGTTCTAATCCTTGAAAAAGAGAAAAACCAGGCAATGACACTTAGAAATAGGCCGGTAAAAGCACAATTACATTTTCTCCTTTCTACAAAGAACTGACCACTCAAAACAGCCACCTCTCTCATTTTTCTAATGATTCAAAATACAGGAACAGACTTGGCTGTTTTGAATAGGGAAATTAAAAGGTGATGAGGGGAAGAGAGAACAACATAGCCTCTGTAGGTGGTACTGTTTCCAACTCTCTACACTCCAGTGCAGAACCTTTGCCTAAAAAATGAAATCTGGCAATAGCATGCACAGGAAAGCCATCAGACCTGGAACATCGCTACTTTGGGGATATGGGAACTGACAAGCAATTCACTGGCGAACAAGTGATGGGAATGCATCAGTAGTGTTTTTCAACTTAACTTGCCATTTAAGAGAGCACTTGAGATCTGAAGAAAGTCTATCCCTACCGAGGAAAGGGGGTCAAATTGCAATTCAGATTAACTTTGGTTATGAGGAAGGAAGGGCCATGCTTTTCATCATCAATTGCATCTCTTTGGTAGCCAATAATTCCATCTGTAATCACGGCAGCAACTTAAGTATCGCCAAGGTTTTCAAATGTGTGAGAGCATTAAGGCATCCACATCGAAGGAGGCAATTTTAAACAAGAGGAAAATGGAACTGAAATGTGCCAATAAGTGACCATCAGTGTGACCTCTCCTGGGACACTGCCCACCATGAGCAAGTTTTTCCCCCCGTGAAGGAGGCCTCTGCCACGCTGCTCGGTTCCTTGCTGCCTGGAGATGCATTTGAGCCCTGTGAGATTAGTATGGCTATTTCTGCCTGCTGACCAGGAGGGAAATAAGTGGTTCCGAGGCAGCAGCTTTAAAATCCGGGAAAGCCCATAGCTCTTGAGAGCTGATAGGCCGTGAAAGGTTTGCTTGTTAATGTGAGGTCCAGAGGGGAAGGCAAATTTGGAAGTTAGATGGTCTGATCCTTGCCAGAGTTCAAGGCCCTACCCAGCAAGATATTCTAGCTAAACTTTTAAGTGTGATGGCAAGGCACTGCTGAAAGAGGCTTTGGCCAGCAGAACACATTTCTGATCACTGCACACAACAATATGATAGAAAGTGCCACTATCCAAACCGAACCAGACACTAAAATGAGCTATTTACTTAACTAAGTAAATTTCCGGGGAGAATCAAGGCAACCATGTTATTTTGAAGGACCAGATGAAACCCTATGACTCTCCTAAGTGACTCAGGAAAGTCACTTAGACTTTCATACTGTACCTTCTGTTGGTTTTAATGTTGTACACAATGGCTGCCAGCCACTATCCAGAACCAGATCCTGTTTATGCTACTTTGGTCTACAGCCAGCAGAGGGCTCTCAAGTTCTTTTTCCCCAGCTGCTGACCCAGTAACAAATCTAGGAAGGAAATAAAGATATCCTGGGCATGCTGGCTTATGTGTCACATAAAATGTTTTACAAACTCCTAAATCCAATGCCCTGACAAAAACAGTCTTGCTTCCCCCTTTCTGGAACGTGGTTTGAAATGGTACAGAAAATCAAAATAAATTAACAATATATCATATACTTATTTGGTAACACAAGGTTTACAGGGATTTTGGCAAATATGGAAAAATTATCCTAGTTTGCTTAACACTTTTACTATCTCAATTGTTTAAATTACCAGAATATTAGTGATTGTGTCATCTCACATATGAGGAAGTGATATTTTAAGGGCTTAATAAAGCTGCATTTGACACAAAGGTAACCTCACTGAAAGGAATAAAGAACAGACACGAGACTATCTTCATCATCACAGTTCAAGAAGTGGTTGTCCTGATGAGAGAACTCAACTCACAAATATTAACATCACCACCAGCAGTAAGCAGCAAATTGTAGAGAGGAAGGGCTGGAGGGAAAAGTTAGGAGAAAAGCATGGAAAAGATGAAGAGACAAAAGACATGATTTTAATAAGCTTTAAATCAACAGGCAAACACTTCCCATTTATGATACATCTTGACTTTCTTCACTGCTACAGGTGCTTATGTGACACTGACCTAGCAGTCCCCAAGGGGCACCAAGTATTTTGCCAGAGGGACTGTTGGTCTGCTAAGATAAATACTTAAAGAGACAAAAAAGGGACAGCATAGGTTTTGGTAATCTTACTTTTAAAAAGGTTACTACAAAGATGTCAGTAACTATCCGAATTCACTTATAATTGAATCCCCTTTAATTTCCAAAGATACTTTGGGATCTGACTGTTCCTGAAGGAAAGCCTATGCCTAAGGAAAGCCTACCTACTAGAACCTGGCTCCTCTATAAAGAATGTGCTGTACAGGCAGCTACTCTACACAAAGGAGAACTTGAAAAGAAATGCTTTATAAAACACTAGATACCTCTTTAAAAGCTAGTCCACCTCTCCATCTGATGGAATGGCAGGCTCTCTTTAAAGAGACAAGTGCAGAAGGAGGTGTTTAAAAGACTCCAGACATACCCTCTTCAGTGGATCTCTCTCTCAAGTATAAAGTCAGCTTTCATTGTGTCTTGCCGTCCTTTTCCTGACTCTAGCCCCAAATGAACTACTTATCTTTAGCATCTAAGACAGTGGGCATTATGACCTTCATTCAAGGCATAGATGTGGCATAGATGCTAAAGCACCAGACTTACATGGCGAGAACCATGTTAAAAATCAATGGATTAAAGTGGCAGAGCCTCGAAACTAAGAAAGAGATTTAGCTTAATTACAGAACACTGTACTTTCATAATTATTTCATTATGAGTATGAAGGTCTCCACTTTTCCTTAAAACTAAATTCCATCTTCCCTGAGAATAGGGTTAAGGGAAACAACAAACTCAAAATGCCAAGGGCCCTTGAAAAGACAACACATGGAATGTCTGTATCCTTCGCAGTGTGTTGTTTCTACTCGAAAAGCTTTCCATTACTCCAGGTTTTCATCTCACCTCCCTCCAGAATCTTTAGGGTTACGGGTGGAGACGGGCAAGGCGAGACAAGAGACTGAGGAAGTGAGCAGCTGTCATGTGCCGGCTGTTCTCACTGGATGGAAAATGGCCATGGCCTGAGGCTGGACCCTCAACAGTCAGTGCTGGTGTCCTACTGACAGAGCGAGCGGGATGAGGCAGCCCAGAACCAGGACTGCTACCTCCAGGCGGCTGAGGCCTCTCCCTCCAGCGGGGTCTGATTTGTGGCTGTGCCCCATTCCGCCTACCTCAGGGAGGACATGCACCGTGGCAACATAAAGAAATGTCCCAGCAGAGAAAAGCATGGCCACTCCAGTGGCATTGACCTCTGAAAGGGCTTCTTTACTGCTCTGTGAAGTAAGATAAAGAGAGAAGAAAAATTAAGTAAAATCCAGAGGTAGGAAGAAGTCCCAATAAAAAAATACCCATTATTCATAACTCGTGTTATCTGGGGCACCGGGGACATCCTGAGATCAGAACGATCTTGTTATTTACGGGAAGCTTCCAAATGAGGGTTTAACACTATTGGTGATGTACACAATTACTTTTTCAAACAAACTTCAAGTCTGGTTGAACAGGTTTGGCCTATATTATTAAGATGGAATCAACAGCATTAATGCAGATATCAAAGTTCATACATTCATTCATTTATTCTACTAATATTAACAAATATGCCATATGCACCAGGCTCTAGGCCAGTGCCTGAGATACAGTGGGAATCGAGACACAGTACCTGCCCTCACAGAGCCTAGAAATATCTCATAAGCTAATCTTTATACAATTCATTTCCATTTTTATTATTATTATTATTTTTTGCTGTATGCAGGCCTCTCACTGTTGAGGCCTCTCCCGTTGCGGAGCACAGGCTCCAGACACGCAGGCTCAGCGGCCATGGCTCATGGGCCCAGCCGCTCCGCAGCATGTGGGATCTTCCTGGACTGGGGCACGAAACCGCGTCCCCTGCATCGGCAGGCGGACTCTCAACCACTGCGCCACCAGGGAAGCCCTCATTTCAATTTTTTTAATGAAAAAAGTGGACCTACTAAGACAATTAATTGAAAATTTAAGAACATGCCATAAATGTAATATGTAACTCCATGCCTCCAAAATTATCATACCTTCCTCTCAAAAGTTCTAAAAACTTATATTGATCAATGCAGTAATAAATAGGGTAATATTTATTTATCTAGGCTGCACTGGGTCTTAGTTGCAGCATGCGAGATCTTTTAGTCGCGGCATTCCTGCAGGATCTAGTCCCCAGACCAGGGATCGACCCCGGGCCCCCTGTCTTGCCAGCGTGGAGTCTTACTCACTGGACCACCAGGGAAGTCCCAATAGCGTAATGTTTAAAAGGGAACTATGTATTGCTCAGTGACTAAAAGAAGATCAAGCTCACAATCAGGTGTTAGCAATCCAGATCAACTAACCCTTGATTATCAGGAACTTAACCATTCTGTAACCATCTCATTTCTCATATGTTCCTTTCAATACAAATTTTACTATATCAAATACGAATTGAATGATGCTCAGAAGAATCAGTGACCTTCAGAGACAGTGGGGAAAAGTGGTTTCCAGGAACTAGCCCTGAGTTGGTTTGGTTCTAAGATTTTCCTCCTGTTGCCTGCCAATTGATATTTAAGTAAAATGGGTAAGGCTGCTGCTAAGAACTGCGGCCCTAGTGGACAAAATTATAAAGCGTGGAAAGGTCCAACTGGAGCAACAGAGCAGAATGCCCGGGCTCTGAGGTGACAAGCGACACATGCCACTTCAGGTCTGGAGCTACATTGAGTGCAATGACGAAGACCTGGGTACTTAACATGCAGTGATATGAGAGCTGGGAGTAGAAGAATCTGAGTCTTAGCTGAATACAGAGATCTCTGCTCATCCCTTACTGCTCTCAAAGCTGCTGCAACCTTGTCCCTCACTCTTCCTGTGCCTCTACTGAAACATTAAATACATTCTGTTGTGACTTACTATGTATCTGTCAAATAAAACTAGCATATGTCTGATAAGGTTTAAGTTGTATTATTTTAAAGATCACATATTTGAGCAAAAAGTGTTTTTGGAACTGATGGGGAAGAAGTTTTCTAATTAAATGAATAAGAAAATGCTCCAAATTTATGAAGAGGATTGACTTGGAATTAAGATGTACACTTTGTACAGGTTTTTAATTCGAATTTTATCTTTAGTTTGAGGGGGTAATTTAACTGAAAAGTTCAATATAAGAGACTATACCTTCTAGTAGATCACAGAGAATTAGATACTTGTCTAGATAAGCTAGGAATGAGTCAGACTTACCTTACTTAGTCCTAAGTACGTCACCATGGACATAACTGGTGCCGCCAGTGCAAAGACCAGTAAGTGCTTTCTGATTCGATTCCGCTCGAGGCCTGCATGCATTAAGAAGGAAACCAGCCCAAAAGCAGCTGGTGCCTGGAAAAGAGAAACTGCCCCTTATGACTCTGGAAGTTTGGATTTGCTTCTGCATTATGAAGTACATATCACTTGACTGAATTCTCATACAAGAAAACTAGGCATAATAGTAAGTCTGGGCTTTGACTTTTAGGAATTAATGTTCTAAGCTAGAAAATATCCCATTTGTGTGTGTGTGTGCGTGTATGTGTGTCTGTGTAACAGTTAAGAAAAGAGTATGAAGAAAGGAAGAATATTTATGAACAAAAATTACTATGAAACGTAGAAATCTGTAGAGGACTTAACAGTTTGTGTATATGACCATAAAAAAATAAAACCCCTTCAAGTATAAGGTTAAGAAAACGGTAGCAGAAGACCCAGCTATGAACAGATTTATTCAATTCTCTAAAATGAACAGCAATTACGAAAATAACTAAAAAAACTTTCCATTCCAGAAAAACATGACCAAAGAGAAATTTTAATTATAAATGTAAGTCAATACCAAATCTTACACCAAAATTTTGCTTACCTTATGTAGCATTATTGCCACAAACACAATTAACTGGACACTAGTTTGTGAAGTAGAAGCTGCTGCTCCCAAAGCAACACCGTCAGCTGAATTTGGAAAAAGTGAAACATAAAACACTATAACTATAAATAACAACTATAATAGTTGGTGAGTGACTGTGTGGGCTTTAGAGTCAGATAGAGCTGGACTGGACTCTGGGACGGTTACTTAACCTTTCTGAACCTTAGCCTTCTCATTTCTACAATGGGTTCAATAAAGTATGTATTCCTAGGGTTTTCATGAGGTAACATATATGAAGAGCTTAGCATAGGTGCTATTCAATATTCAATTTGTCAGTTATTGTTGCTGTTGTTGGAAAAGTATGATGCTCAAAAAATCTACTGATTAATCAATCAAACTGTAATAACAGAAATATCAAAGAATTTCAAAGGAAGCATCTCTGCATCTTGCAGATGAAAAACCAAAATACAGAGACCGTGACTTGGCATAAATGATTTATACGTAATGAGTAAATAGTGGTTGAAATGGATGAATTTTTTGGTTAGAAAAGCATGTTTTACTAGAAAGTCCAGATAAGAGTGTGTCACCTTTCACATGCTTTTGTCATTTACAGAGCCCTACTACTGGGACTAGTTTGGTTATGATTCTAAGGCATGCCCTGTCAGCAATGCTGAGACTTCGACACTCTATAGCTTACCTCTGCCTCACCTGGCACTTGGGTAGATACCCAGCACCAGGGCTACTGAGTACAAAAGTGAGCAGGCTCTTAGGCAGATGAGGTCCTATGGCAGAGGTCAGCAAACTTTTTGTTAAAGGGATAGATAGGAAGTATTTTAGCCTTCGTGAGTCATTTGGTCTCTTGCAACTACTCAAACTCTACCATGGTGTGAAAGCAGCCACAGATAATATGTAAACAAGTGGCCATGGCTGTGTTCCAATACAACTTTACTATGGACACTGAAATTTGAATTTCATGTATTTTTCATGTGCCACAAATTAATTTCATCCATTAAGAAATACAGAACCATTCTTATTGCAACCCCAACACTGAGTACTCCAGGACTCATGCTTCTGTTGGAGGCCTTCATGAAGCAACCCTTTCCCCAAAAGGCCAGCCCTAGAGTATTTCATGTGGATGGTCCCTGTGTGGCAGAAAAGAAAGGGGTTCCACTGCAATCTGACCCTACCTGCAGCATGGACGACCAGACCCAGCGTGGTGGTGATTTTGGAATTGCTAGGCCTTGCTGTTTCTGGATCTGAAGTAAAAAGAAGCAAGTCAGCCATGAAGCAACATGAAACAGAAACTATTAGAACATTCACCTGCGGGTGGAAGAAGTCTTTGAAAGCTCTTGAAGTAGAAGACTATTATTTTCCTACTATTGTCTTTTTTCTTCTGCTTCAAACACGTGGCAGTTGCCCCTGTCCTGAAGAGGTGGGCAGGTGGAAACTCTTCATTTGACCCAGGCTTCCCTGAACAGACAAGATATCACTCCAAACAGCCTCACACCTCTTAACGCTTCACCTCTCCAAGGAAAGTGCTCTGTGGCATCTGACCACCTCTCTAGACCAATCTCATTGTCATTGCCTACCCCCTCCCCCTCCCCAGCCTCCTGCAACTTTACCTGTATTCTAACATCAAAATGTCATTCACATTTGCCTTTCTCCATTTTATTGCCACCATCCTAACCTAAATTTTCATCAACTCAAACCTAAATTAGCAGTAGGCTCCCATCTGGTTGTCTCCCCTTACTCTCATTTCTCCCTAACCTAATTCATCTTACACATCCTTGTCGGATTCATCTTTCTGTATCACCACCCTTGTGATGGGTCAGTTAAGAATCTGCTGCTTTTCAAATTCAGTCCAAACTGCTCTATTAAGTAGGTCTTGAGCCCTCTATCAACTGGTATCATCTTTTTAAAAAAAAAAAAAAAAAATTATTTATTTATTTTGGCTGCATTGGGTCTTTATTGCTGCTCACAGGCTTTCTCTAGTTGCGAGAGCGGGGACTACTCTTCATTGCAGTGCGCAGGCTTCTCACTGTGGTGGCTTCTCTTTGTTGCAGAGCACAGGCTCTAGGCACGTGGGTTTCAGCAGTTGTGGCTCACAGGCTCAGTAGTTGTGGCTCGCAGGCTCTAGAGCACAGGCTCAGTAGCTGTGGCGCACGGGCTTTGCTGCTCCGTGGCATGTGGGATCTTCCCAGACCAGGGCTCGAACCCATGTCTCCTGCATTGGCAGGCAGGTTCTTAACCACTGTGCCACCAGGGAAGTCCTCAACTGGTATCATCTTATTTCTTACTGTCCAGTCCAGTTAAACCAGTTTCTGTAACACCCTCTAACAAAAACTGTCTCATTCTCCTTTCCCCAAATCTCCTCACCCCTAATTCTTGGCATGTACTAAATTGCCCAGCTCATCAATCCAAAACCAAGACGTTGTTCAAAGTCTTAATTCTAGGACCACTTATTCTGAGAAAGAATCAAAGATTAATTCCAGCTTAGAACAACTCTCCCCTTGCCTAGAAATGTACAGCTCTATGCACAGTCTCTACATGCTACTTCAAGGTTTCTTCTGTATTCCACCTTAGATATACAAAACTGTTTTCACTTAAATATGTCCCTCTCAATTGACTGTGAACTATACAGAATTAAATTTTATACTTCTTTCCATTTTTTAATTTGTCTTATAGAATGTAGCATAGCACTGGTCGCCCAACAGTTGCTTAATAAATCCTTGTTGGAGATTTTAAAAAGTATTTATCTGTATTACAGGTATTATAAGAAATATATAGGGCTTCCCTGGTGGCGCAGTCGTTGAGAGTCCGCCTGCTGATGCAGGGGACACGGGTTTGTGCCCCAGTCCGGGAAGATCCCACATGCCGCGGAGCGGCTGGGCCCGTGAGCCATGGCCGCTGAGCCTGCGTGTCCGGAGCCTGTGCTCCGCGACGGGAGAGGCCACAACAGTGAGAGGCCCACGTACCGCAAAAAAAAAAAAAAAAAGAAAGAAATATATAAACAAGTAAATAATGTCCAAACAATGTAAAGTTCAAAGACATGGACATCAAAATGCCAGGTGAAATGACAGATGGACATTAGTCAAGTAAATTGCAAGGAGTTTAATCTTTTGAGGGGTCTAGCCCACTGAAGGAATGGTTTACAATGGAAAAAGCATGCACAAGTAAAGTATCTTTATCTTTTTACTAACAAAATTTATCTTCTAATTAAAACACTGCAAGAGGGCTTCCCTGGTGGCGCAGTGCTTGAGAGTCCGCCTGCCGATGCAGGAGACGCGGGTTCGTGCCCCGTTTCGGGAAGATCCCACATGCCGCGGAGCGGCTGGGCCCGTGAGCCATGGCCACTGAGCCTGCGCGTCCGGAGCCTGTGCTCCGCAAATGGGAGAGGCCACAACAGTGAGAGGCCAAAAAAAAAAAAAAAAAAAAAAAAAACACTGCAAGAAGGGAAGCTAAAGCCCCTAATCACTCTGGGACAACAGATATTTCAATATCACCCCAAACTGGAAAGAACGATCATATTACACTGTGTGACAAGCTTGTTTTGGCTTTTCTTTACACAGTCTTGTGGTCTAATTATAAGTAGCATCTTAAAAAAAATTAGAGGGGGGCTCCCCTGGTGGCGCAGTGGTTGAGAATCTGCCTGCCAATGCAGGGGACACGGGTTCGAGCCCTGGTCTGGGAAGATCCCACATGCCGCGGAGCAACTGGGCCCGTGAGCCACAACTACTGAGCCTGCACGTCTGGAGCCTGTGCTCCGCAGCAAGAGAGGCCGCGACAGTGAGAGGCCCGCGCACCGCGATGAAGAGTGGACCCCGCTCAGCACAACTAGAGAAAGCCCTCGCACAGAAACAAAGACCCAACACACCCCAAAATAAATAATTTTTTTTAAATTAGAGGTTTTAAAGTTAAAACACAATTTCTATAAATCTATAGGAAAAGACTCTGCTTCAGAATAAATTTAATAAACGAATTAACTTTTACTGATAATAACACATAAAACCGTGCAGGTAATAGGTAAAGCGAGGTCATCAGATACATGAAAACCAGCAAAAACAGTGACCTCTGAGACAAAACAGGAGGAAAAATAAACACATACTACATTTAATTCTTTGTATGGGGCTACAGGACACTAATGCGCCTATAAATGCATTTTAAATTTAAACTGACAAGAATTGCAAGAAAAATGTCATAAAGGCCACTATGGACAACTATGTAATGTAGCTGGAGTCAGATTCCATCCAACAGAGGGTGCTTCTCATTTGCTGTTTGGAATAAAGCACATAAGTAAAACCTTTTACTCCAAAATCAATTTCCTAAAATAAGACTTGGTTAGTTAAAAAAAAAAAAGTTGCAAGAATAGTTCAAAAAGCAATCATATACCCTTTTCTCAGAATGACTAACTGTCCAACATTTTGCCCCATTTGCTTTATCATTTGGGCTTATGTTCTCTTGTTCTCTATCTACACTACACAAATACACATATTTGTGTATATCTTTTTTTCTGTACCATTTAAGAGTAATTTGCATACATTGTAACTCTTTATACTTAGATACTTCAGTGTGTATTTCTGATGATGAAGGATATTTTCTTATATAATCACAGTAAAGTTATCAACTTCAGTAAATTTAACATTGATATATTTTTCTACTCTCTCTTGCATATTCTAATTTGTCAATTGCCCAAGAATGTCTTTCAGGGCATTTTTCCTTTTCCAGGAAGGATCCAGCCTAAGATCATATGTTGCACCTAGTTTTACCTCTTTAGTCTCCTTTAATCTGAGACATTTTCTCTGCCTTTAACTTTTGTGACATTGATATCTCTGAAGAATACATTTCCTTCCCTGCGCCTTTCTTGTTTTTTAACAGTGGTTCTTCCTTTTGGATTTGTCTGATGTGTCCTTAGATGATGCATTCTTGGATGGAATACTACACAGGTGATGCTCCTCAGGCTATCACATCTAGAGGCACAGGATGTACATCTGCTGCTCACTAGTGGTGTGAATTCTAGATTATATATTGGATACTGTAAATGTTATCTTGTGGATACTATGGATTCTATTATATTCCTCCAAAGAGTGTTGATTTTTTGCTTTGCTTTACGTAACTTGATTTGGCTCAAACTGCAAACTCTGTCTTCTGGGCAGCTGCCTAAATCTCAGTTTAGTTCTTTTACGTTTAGCTGAGCTGTCTGGAGTCTGCCGAAGAAAGCATGGTTCAGGGCTTAGCCAGAGACTTGGGCAGTTTATACATAGAATTTGGGGCTGAGTTTCTCTGTCTCTCTCCTTTCTAAGATTCTCTCCTCACTTTCCAGGGGCTGGGTACCTTGAACTCTGTCCTCCAGTTCCTTAGGCCAGAAAGACTGTCTTCAATCAGTTAGTTACCTCACAGGCACTGACTGCTAAAAGCAGTAAAAATAGGAACTAAAAGTAGTAAAAATAGGTTCCAAGTGTAGACTCCCTTCCAGAATTTGCCTCCTTTAGGTCACTCACTCTCCAATGTCTTCAGATAGTGGTTTTCAAAATTCTGTCCAAAGTTTACAGTTATCTGTACAGAGGCTGGTCTGGTAGGAACATTCTGCCCACACTGAAAGCAGAATACCAGTGACATTAATTTTGATCATCTGATCAAGGTATTGTCTGATTTCTTTATTTAGTTACTTTTTTTCCCCTTGTAACTAATAAGCAAATCAAAATATACCCCCTAGATTTAACATTCATTGATGATTCTGGCCTGAGCCAATTTTTACTATGAAGGTTGCAAAGATGATTGTCCAACTCCAACTGCTTGCACATTTACCAACTGGCATTTAGCACTCTGCTGGAAGCAAATGCCCTCCCTTCTTTTATCTTTCTCCCATGTGGATGTGCCCATTGATTGCCATTTTTTCAATGATTTATGCTTTATTGCTGTTCTTAATTACCTTGATGCACAAATTGTCTGAGATCTGGCCAAGAGAAGCCCCTTCAAGCTGGTTCCCATATCCTGTGACATGTTTCCATATTCTTTGAGCACTAGATGTTCCAAGCTCATTTTATCCTTACCCTGTCCTGTCCTAGAATCAGCCATTTCTCTGAAGAGCCTGATATGCTCATTGCTAGTGGGGTGTCTTTACTTCTAGGCCCTCTCTGCACACAGAACTAAGACATACATACATGTGTACATAGACACACATGTATATGTACACATACAAGTTTTAGAAATCATGATTCCAATAGCTCCGATTCCAACCCATCCCTGTAGGGGTTCTTTCTTGCTTTCCCTCATTCCCTATTTGCATGTCCCTTCTTCCTCAGTGAGGACTCTGGTTCCACCAACAGCAACACAATTACTCATTTGCTCAATCTTGTAACATATCTAAACTAGTTTCAGAACTGTTTTGCCCACACTGTTACAAAAAGCAAAGCCTGCTAAAGAGAGTTCAGTACTGTTTATGCTTCTTCCCCAACTCTACTCACCACTAAAGGTATATAGTCAAATACTACATTCATAAGTTACTTGAATTAGTTTTTTCTACATCCCCTTCAGTGAAACTGTTATTCATTTGAAGTACAGTTCATCTGTTTCAGTTAGCTCCCCCATCCTTTGTTGATTTCATTTTATATTTTGAATATGGAAAATATTAACATTTTTCCCAAAGTCAAAACTATATCAAAAAGGCATGCCTGGGGAAGTGTCATGCCCTCCCAAAACCCTTCTACCTTATCCCACCCATGCCCTCACTCCTACAAGTAATCAACTTTGTTTTCTAGCTGATCCTTCATACGTTTCCTTTTTGTAAAGATAAGCAAATATATACACGTATACTTGTTTCCCCTTCTTTTTTACACAAAACATAATATATGATGTATAATAATTTATTTTTGCCTTTTTTTTTCCCACTTAACAGTATTTCCTGGAAATCTCTCCATATTGGTTCATAGAGATCTGATTCCTTATTCTATTTCATGGCTACATAGAACTCCATTACATGGACACACCACACTATACTCAACCAATCTGCATGACTGGACATTGAAGTATTTTTACAATGATAAACAATGCTGCACTGATTAGTCTTGTGCGTATGTATTTTCATATTGGAGCCGATTCATCAGAACAGATTCCTAGAAGTGGGATTTTGGGGTTGAAGGGTAAATTGCCCACTACAGGGGCTGTACCACTATGCACACCCACAGCAATAGATGAGAGTGTCTGTTTCGTCACAGCTTCGCCAACAGAGTATACTGCCAAGGTTTTGAATTTTTGCCTATCTGACAGGTGAGAAATGGCATCTCAGTGGAATTTTGATTTGATCTAAAGTCCACAGGCTTTAGACTGCTGAAAGGCTCCATGGCACAAAAAGGGTTAAGAACTTCTGCCCTAGACCTCCATCAGATGAGCTTTAAAATAACCAGGGTAATAATACAATAAACAGTCCCTTGTGCCACACGTCATAACCCACTAGCTTTCTCAAATGAATGAAATGTTCACCAGAACCTGAGAAAGTTTTAGCACTAAATAAGACCACTGATACATATTGAATTATTCAATCATTTGTGATCACCTAAAATGCGAATGTTTTGCACTGCCCAGAAAACCTTGGAGCTACTTACCATCAGTAGAATGCACATGGGAGTTGCCAATCTGGTCCACCAGCAACATGAAAACAAAGCCCAGTACGAGGGAAACACCGATGTAGGCATGCAGCTGTGTGTGGTCATGGCTGTGCTCATGTTCATGGGCAACCGGTATTTCTGCTTTGTCTGATGCAATCACATTCTGTGTTTGACTCGCTTGGTGGTGTTTCCCTAGAGCAGAATGAATCGTAAAGAGAAAATGTGTTTTCCCCCTCAAAACATCTTCATGTAGAAGCTTCCATTCTTTTGTATTTCAAGCTCTACAGATTTTACTGCAAAGACATTCACTTCCTGTATTATAATCTAACCAATCATAATCTCCCTTAACTTAAAGTTCATGATGAAAAACTTCCCAAGGGGGGGGGCTTCCCTGGTGGCGCAGTGGTTGAGAGTCCGCCTGCCAATGCAGGGGACATGGGTTCATATCCCAGTCTGGGAAGATCCCACATGCCGCGGAGTGGCTGGGCCCGTGAGCAGGGCCGCTGAGCCTGCGCGTCTGGAGCCTGTGCTCCACAACAAGAGAGGCCGCGATAGTGAGACGCCTGCGCACCGCGATGAAGAGTGGCCCCCGCTTGCCACAACTAGAGAAAGCCCTCACACAGAAACGAAGACCCAACACAGCAAAAATAAATTAATTAATTAATAAACTCCTACCCCCAACACGGTAAAAAAAAAAAAAAAAAACTTCCCAAGGGCCTTTTCTGCTTTTGGCATGCAGAGCTTTTAACTGCCTATTATTCCCAAAACCTAGGAAGTGGAAGCAAATCACCAAGCAAGAAAGCAGTCATATTCCCAAGGGATAGCATCCCCAAATCTTCCTTTTGGGCTAGAGAAATTCACACCAATCTCACCAGAAACTACAGTAAGGTTTATTTTGATGAAAATAGGCAAATGAAGAACAGTAACAGTGAAATTAATTACAATCAAATTTATCTAGTTTTACACTTAGGTTGATATAAACATTGCAAATAACGGGCAAACTGAGCATAAAACACTTTTAGCTTTAAAAATCTCAGGGGACAATCACTAATTAGAAACCAAAAGGGCAGAGCAGTTTAAAAGAGACATTTCCTTCTAGAAAGATGATTGTTCTAGAAATATGATTGTCAGGATACTCTTGAATTACAGTAAATGACACCTGGCTAAGTAATACTGCTAGTTTATTATACTCACGTATTTGACACTCAAAACATAAAACACTTCAAGGCCAGAATCCTGATCTTTGCTGTGTTTCATAAATACAGGCTAACATACTAAAGACATTTCTTGCTTATAATTAGATTAAGCATTTTAATCTTTGACCAAAGAAATTACGTAAGTCTGTTGCAATATTTTAGAGCCTGCCTTAATTCTTTAAAAGTCATTTTTGAGAAGCACAAAGTACATACCATCTTAAGATAATAAAAACTCATGTAATTTTCTAATTCTTGAAAGACTTTTTGTTTGTTTACACACCTTTTTTTTTAACTTTTAAAAAGTGTGGTAAAATACACATTACATAAAATTTACTTACCATTTTAACCATTTTTAAGCATACAATTCTGTGGCTTTAAGTACACTCACATCATTCTACAACCATCATCCATCTCTAAGACTTTTTCATCTTCCCAAAGTAATTTTTTAATCTTAAGATTTTTTTTCCCCTAATAGTGATTTCATTTACTTGTTTTAAAATATCTAAATCTCTCTCTCTCTCTTTTTTTTAAATCAACTTTATTGAGGTATAACTCACAAATGTAAAAACTCTAGTAACTACCACCAAGGTCAAGATATGGAACAGTACTTTAAAATATCAGAAAAGTTCTCTTGTGCATCCCTGGAGTCAATATGTCACTCTTGGTCCCAAGCAGGGGAAGAGCTTTTTGTCCCCAGAGTTTTCCCTGATCTAGGATTTCATATAAATGGAATTATCCAATATATCCTCTTTTGCATAAGGATTCTTTTGTTCAGCATAACATTTTGAGATTTATCTAAGCTTTGCATGTAGTTTGGTCCTCTTTTTTGTTGAGTAGTTTCCATTGTATGGACATATCACAACTTGTTTATCCATTCAGCTGTTGATAGACATTTAGGTAATTTCCAATTTTGGTCCATTATAAATAAAGCTGCTATGAGCATTCAGGTACTTTCTGTGAGCATTCAAGTCTTTCTGTGGATACACATTTTCTTTTCCCTTGGGTAAATACCTAGGATCAGAACTGACAGGTGTATGTATGTTTAACGTTATTTTAAAAAACTGTCAAACTGTTTTCTGAAGTGGTTGTACCATTTTACATATCCAACAGCAATGTCTGAGAGTACTAGTTGCTCCATTCCATTGTCAACATTTGATATTGTGAAGCTTTAAATTTTTAACCATTTTTACATAGGTGATCATGTCATCTGCAAACAGATAGTTTTACTTCTTGCCAATCTTTACGCCTTTTCTTTCTTTTTCTGGCCTTACTTCAGACTAGCGTCTGGCCAAGACCCCAAGTACAATGTTAAGTACAAGTGGTTGAGAGGAGAGAGCCATGTTTTGTTCCCAGTGTTAGGCATCTTACCTGTAGGCTTTTCAAATATACCCTTTCTCAGTAAGGAAGTTCTTTCCTAGTTTGCTGAGAATTAGGAGTTTAATTCTGTCAAATGTTTATGCTTTTCTGTACCTGTTAAGGATGATCAAATGGTTTTTCTACTTTATTCGATTAAGATAATAAATTAAAATGGTTTTTGGATATTAATCCAACCCCTGATTTGCATTCCTAGGATAGACTCCAATTGGTCAAAATGTATTATCCTGTCCATATATTGCTGTATTCAATTTGCTAATATTTGGTAAAGCACTGTGCCATCTACATTCGTGAGGGATATCTGTCTGCAATATTTTTTCTTGTAACATCTCTGTTTGAGTTACATTGGCATCTTAAAATGAGACGGAGTGCTCCTCCAAGAGACAGGCAGAAAAAAACTTCCTCCAGCCCCCCAATTTCCATTTTATTAATTTAAACAAGTTCTACGAGTATCAGCAGTTAATGTTAATGGTGCTAATGTCAAGCAGTTTTTGAAATTGCTGACATGAGACTTATGACAATGTTTTTTAAACTTTTAAGGACATGATCCCTAGTAAAAAATAAATTGTACACCATGATCTAGTAAACATACACATAGATGAAAAACTAAATAAAAAGTTGCAGAAAATAATACTTATCCTTACAATGGTTACAACGCACTATTCTATTTCTTCATCTGTCTTGTCCCTCCTTTGTGCTCTTCTTAAATGCCAGTCACAAGTCCAACTTACTAAATTTATTTCAAGATCCAGAGTTGCTACCTTCAGTTTGGAAGCACTGCTGGAGGTAAAGAGAGACTTTCAGAGGAAGAAATGGATGATTTTGGAATAAAAGGTATTTCCTGGAAATCAGAAGCCTACGCTGCAGTGATCAATTAAAGAGAACTGAACGCTAGACAGGTCTAGCAGGAAGGTGGGCAGACAGAATGTGCCTACCCTGTCCTTCATGCAAGCAAAATGATTGTTAGCAGTAAGGATTTTAAGCCAGAGAACTTACTGAAAGCTCAGAGATGAAAAATAAGTTTATGAGAGAAGCAGTCTAAGAATTTTGATCAGTAGTGTTGGACAATTAGCCTCATGGTAAAAGGACGGTGTTCAGTTTGTGAAAAATCATTGAGCTATATACTGCCAATATGTGTACTTTCTTGTGTGTATGACATATACTTTTTTTGTATGCAATATTTCAATAAAAAGTTAATAAACTCAAAATGCAGTACCCTGATGACCAATACTGAGATGGCAGAACTCATTACTTTTCAAGTAGGTCTTTGTGTGCTGGGAGAATAGCTTAGCATGGCCTCAAGAATGTAAAATAAATAAACGAGGTAAAACAACTGACGTTCTCTAAAGACAAGGCAATTTTTGGTATGCTTCTGTTTTAACATACAAAACCAATTCTTCATATTTATAGATGTAAAGAAACTACACATGTGAAGTCAGTCACAGAGTTTTGGTAACTACAATTTTCAACACTATTTAGAAAGATGCTATTGGAAAGGATTTGAATGATTATCTTTTCATAAGGTACCCACTAAATATTTAACAAAATGGGTTCCTGTCTCTGCCTTTGCTTAGACTCTGCAGGAGTTAATGAATCCATGGGCCTTCCATGCTGCTTCTCCTGGATAACACCTTGTCTTTCAAGACTCAGCTAAGTCTCTTCCTCCTTGAGATTTTCTGTGTCCTCCTCTAGTCATGTACACACAGCATAGTAGTACGTGTCTACCACAGATTTTATATGACTATACCATAATTCAGACAGCAGCAAACTGCAGGACAAAAGCTCATGCCTAGCTCTGTAAATAAAATTTGCACTGGAACACAGCCATGCTCATTTGTTCATGAACTGTCTGTGGTTGCTTTCATGCTATGACAGCAGAGTTGAGTAACTGCAACAGAAACCATATGGCCCACAAAGCCTAAATTATTTACTATCTGGCCCTTTACAGAAAAAGTTTGCCAACCCCTGCTGTCACTGACTGTTAATTTATTCATTTTCCATCAGCTGTGAATTCTTGAAGGCAGGGGCTATACTGTATATCTATGAACAGATAACAATCAATATAAGGCCATAAATTGAGTGGATACTCAACAAATTGATGTTGAAGGCAAAAAAATGGCCTTCACTTCTGTATTTTTTAATGTGGCATTTCATCTCAAAAGTTATGTAATTAATTACTTCCTAAGCAAAAAGATTTTTTTAAATGGAAATAAAATACAATCTTTTAGTTGTATGTTTTAAGATAATTATGCACATGCTTCTTTATAAATCCAGACTAAATAGGTAACAGAGGTACATGCTAAATTAGGTGAAAGGTTACGCTAAAGCAAGCTTAGGTACAAAGGTGGGTTAACACCTTATTAAAGGGTGTTAGTCATACTATTATTTGTGAACAGTTGCATAATAATTTTTAAAGATAATTAATTTTGGGGTGTCCATAGTTCTGAAACTAAATGTCAAGCCTAATTACAACTTTCAAAGGGTGGCCAAAATTATTTCCCTTCATAAGGTATAACTATATCAGAATTTTTAAATTTAAATGATTATAAGATCCTTCTATATCTTATCCTAACAATGCTTTCTTTATCTAAATAATTTTGGAACTCTTGGTACAGCATTCAG